GGGACACAAGAACAACATCAAAACTAAAAAAATTTGTATGAAGTATGGTTGCTCTAATTTAGGCCTCCATTGTTTTCAAGACTGCTGGAAAACTTTTTCCTTTTGAAAAGTAAGTTGTGCAGAAGCTGGGAACTCTATGCAAGGTTGAAACATTTTATTGCAGGAACAAAGAGGGCAATCTCAAGCCCCATCTTTCCCTTTTAGGCAGCCAATCAGAACATAGAATTTGCACCTAGACAATAGGCATCACAATGCACACAGTGATTTACATGTACATTGCCTCTTATGTTAGTATACTTTTAATTTTCATAGGAACAACAGGATTAAGTCGACCACTCTCAGTAAAAAGTCTTGGAAGGTCCTCCTTGTCAAAAGCTTCAGGAGCAAAATCTGTCAGCAAAATTTCTGGTGAAGAAGAAAGCCTTGAAAAATGTGCCCAAAGCATTTTAGAAAATAGCGTAAGTGCCATCGGGTGTTTATACATTGTAGTACAGTTTACTGCCATAATAGAGATAAGATGTATAATTTATATTCATTATTAACCAAACGTGAGGTCAAGATGGCTGGATATTGCCTGAGTTTATTTTTTATGCATTTTTATGGACTGACATGAAGGCTAATATACAGCCATCTTGACCAAACAAGCTTGATTAATAAAGTATTTATTAAATTGCAAAAAGATTTTGCTTTATTAAGAGTTAAGAATGACTTGTTTACTCTGACAGCTGAGAAAGAAAGCCAGCCGTGTTTGTAGCACAACAAACTCACAATGGTCAATCAGAACACTGGATTCGCTTCATCTTGCCCTTGGGAGCTGCGAGGGATGTTAGTAATAAAGTAAGTTTTTGTACATTATATTTTGTAGATCAATGTGTTTGATGTGATCTGTGGAGTAATACAATCCTCGTCACGAGCTGGTGGTCAAGTATTGCAGAATGTTCACATGTTAGCCGCACACAGGATTATTCAAAGTCTACTTCCCGTGTTGGGACTTACAGATGAAGACTGTACATCCAAGGAGAGTGCTGCTTCTAAATTCAAATGGTAGGTGTAGATTTGAAATTATAATCATGATTATGTTGATATGAAAACTGACCCCTAATTCCCCCCCCATCCCAGCCAAACCCCACGGGAATTTGCCATCGTCTGTGCTAGGGGAGAGGGGAGAATTTGAACCTTACCTGGCTGGGGTAGGGAATTTGAATTGAAGTTTCAAGTCTTTCCAGCAGAATACAATTGATAAATAAATTTATGGAGATATTTCAGGTAAGTTGTTCACTTCTGCAGGAGAGTGGCTCAGAAGAAGAGGTCTAGGTTTTAAAGCTTGGTCAATTAATTTGTAGAAAGTCACAGTCAATGATTTTGCTTTTTACATGAAAATTTGACCGGGCATTTGAACACAACTTTTGTCCTGGGGGGAAGGAATGTAAACAAATCAAAGCCTCAGGGGTTGTCCAGAGTAGGGGGGTGGGGGGAATGTTGAAGCTTCAAATTGATTGTAGCACAAATCATTACATTACTTTTTCTTTCTACTTAACATTGGTTATGCTGACTAATTGACACATCAGTCACCACAATTTACAAATTCAATTTGGGTCAGCAAAGTATAAAGAGAGGTAAATGTTTTTCAAGCCTTCAGTTGCAACTCATCATTATTATTTTGTTCATTTGCTATACAGGTTACAAGGAGTGAACACACTGGTGGTTGTGCTTGCCTCACGTGCAATCACTCTCCTGTCTTCTCTTTTGGAAGAGCTGCAGGTGGAAGGATTACTGACGGACATTGAAGATAAACATTCTACTATTGGGTCTGACTTCTCTGTCAACTCACGTTGTTCTGCTTGGAAGAGAGTGAAGAAACTGATGGATGAACTACCTCTGTTGAATTACTTGTTTGCACAGTTTTCTACTTTGTACAAAATGGTAATGTAGGCCAATCTATTGTACCCTTTACACCCTATCATTGACAGTCATATTCTCCATACTGTTCTCATACATTTCCTAAGGTGTTGACAAGGAGAATTTGTTTGACAATCAGGAGCTTTTTAAAATTTATTGCTGATCATTTTCTCTATTCTCATGACCTTTATGTTTTATTCACATGTGGCAAAAACAAAAAGGGGGAATTATAGTGTACAAGATAAACAAAAGTGCTAAGACTAATTACAAAAGAAGCAAAATCAAAAGGAAAACGAAACTAAATACAATTGACTGCAACTTAATCTGATCCTGTCTTAAAGGTGTAGAGGAACTCCAATGTTGTGTAATTCAAACTGGTGAAACTTTTGTAAAAACTCTGATCCAACTCCTTTGATCTCGTAACTCCAACTCTTTGATATTTAGGGGGTGTTCTCTAATAAGGGTATAATTGTAAACCGGTTCAAACGGGAACAACTAGCTACATCAAGGATTCAAACTGTGAACAATAATTATCATATGAAAATAAGGGTGTAAACTCAATAATGAGACAAAACAGAACTCCAGCTCCTTTAAATTAGAAAGAAGGCAATTTCATAATCAAGGTCCTTTTTTAATGTTCATTACAAAATTATTCAAATTTTTTTTTGTTTTAAGTTCTGATCAGTGTATTTTTTTTTTTATGTTGTTACCCTTACATCTGGACTGTTAAATATCAACAGGCTACTGCCATGATCACTCCAACAGTGTCAGCTGGTCAAACATCCTCACGACCCAGCTCAGCCAAGTCAGACAGCTCAAAATCTCCAGCTACATCATCAGACGAAGGAGACAGTGAATACATCTCTTACTCTGATGGGAGCAGTGAAGGTACTGTTTATTTGGGAAGTTTTAGTTTGGGTGGCAAGTAGAGAACTCAATGTGGTCTCTGATAGTTATGTTTTAATACCAATAACATGGTTGAACAAGGTGCGAAACAGACTGAGGGAGAAGTAGATGTTGCATCAAAAGTCACTTTGAGCATTATTTTGTGTACCCCTTCACTCTGTCACTTTCCTCTGAGAAAATTTCTTAAGTATTAATTGTTCAATCTGTGATTTAGATGAAGAATCATTACTTGGTCAGTGGTTTCAAGACACATTGTCATCAACAACAACAGTTCCAACTGCCAGCCCACAGCCCCCAACAAGAAAGAAATCAGAAAGTGGAGACGTGGGAGACAGTGGGACAGAGACCACACCCTCTGGACGGTCTTTCCAGATGGCACCTGAGGAGGTACTTGTAATATAATACAGACAATTCTCTAGAATTCTTGCCTAAATGTAGGGTTGGTGCCCATGGTAACCAGGGGCTTTTGCTGTTTCCAGCTAGCTCTCTCTCAGGAAACTACCCCTGACAAGGATGTCTGTGCAACAAGGACCCTTCCCTCATACTAGGCCTCAGTGAACACTGATTAGGTCATTGGTAGGGTAACACTTGAAAACAATGGCAACATAACTGCGAAATGTGTATGTACAGTTCTAGGTTCTTTTGATCCCACTGCAAAAGACGGTCACAAACTGCATGAGTTTTGTACAGTATACAAGTACGTTTATAGGTTTTACTTAACATATTGTAGGGTATACTTACAGCTGTAATTGAGACTTATTGACACAAGAATTTGTACTTGAACTTGAGCTGTTTTCTTGTTAGTACATCTACCTGGCAACATGCACCCTCCAGTTCTTATCCAAACATTTACTGAGCAACCCAATACCAGAAATGTCAGAGTACATCAGCCGTTCATTCACTGAGACACACATCATTGGGCTTGTGGGAGTTGTCAAGGATCTGGATCAACTTGCTGTGATCAGCATGCCAAGTTATGTTGACATGGACAAGCTTTGCAGTGCTGTTGATCAGGCTGTGCACTTGCTTCTTGTATCAGACTTGCTGACACAACATCAACAGGTTAGTTGAAACGAAGGCCAAACCTTATTTAATATGTTTGACATATTACACTTTCCAGGTATTATGAGTCACATAGTTCAAGGGCTTGTTACTGAAAACAACCAATTGATTTGCTTTATTGCCAGTCATACAAGGTTGCATGATTATTTTAAAATCAATGGAACTGGCACTGTCCTGTGCAGTTTGGCAGAACAGGTTTGCCCTTCAACTCAAGTCAACAGAAGGTGTAGAAATTGTTGCAAACCTCTTGAATCGGTTGCTAAAAATGTCGGGCTTCTTTCAGCTTCCTTTTTTGTTTCACAGCTTAGTTTATAGAAAATATGCACAATCCACAATCCTTCCCTTTGCCGGCTCTGAAAAAGGGCCAAATGTCAACAAAAGTATTGGGAATTTTCTGTTATTTATTTCTTGTTGAGTTCATGTTAATGATTAATAACTGATATTTGTATCCGCAAAGGACTGATAAAGAACATGTGGAATACTAAGCTCAATTTGTCTTTGTACCACAGAAGCCAAAAGTTAGTTGGGAAAGGGTATAATCGTAAGAGAGTATCAATTTTATAAACTTGACTTTGGATAAGGCTTTAAAAGTGGCCAACAGTGCTTGTAAACTATTTTTAGTCTCAGATTGCAGTTTTTGCTTATCAAGGTCAATGCAAATTTCACATGTTTACTTTTAGTGACATGTTCCTTTTTATCAGGATGTTTTCCTCAGTCACCTGGGCTTGGCACCATTAGTTGATGGACCATGGCCATTAAAAGTAAGCCAACGTTGTCTGGGAATCCTTGCTAGGGTGTTACTGGCTCGACAGCAGAAGGCTTTGCACATTTCTAGCACAGGGATGGATATTGAAGAATGTATTACAGTTTGGAAAAGATTGATTGACACTCTTAAAGATTACTGTCTCACAAGTGAGGATTTAAATCTACCTACCATTCCAGGTACAGTGTGTTAGAGTTTTATACTGCTTATTTAACTACTTTGCATTAGTCACAGTAATGTGAATAATTCATTTTTTCTTTCAGATCTCAATGTGGAGCATCTTCAGCTTCTCCTGTTCATTTTCCACAACTTCTCTCTGAAACAGCGTAAATCACTTACCACGTATTGTGTCAGGGTGCTGATAACAATTGCCAACTCATTGTCAATATTGCATTCCCCTCCCCTTGCAATGGGCCGCCTCTTGTTGTTGTTGGATTACTTTCTCCATCATTTGTCGGCACCACCAGAAGATCTCTTTAAACAGGTAAACATGATAATTGTACAGCTTGTTTGCTCCAAAACTGGCCCACACTATATACTGGATCCACCAGTAATTGAGATAGCCATTTAAGTCTATTTATATATTTATTTATTTGACCCTTTAACTCCCAAGATCTGATTGTTAATTCTCCCCTCTGGCTGCTACACATGATTTCCTTTTTAAGTAGTTATGAGAATTTGGTGTAAGATCAGGATAACAACTTCTCATTACCTGTTTGATGGGTAATGTGTAGACATGATAGGGAGAAGTTTCATGTTAATCACTTCTGGGAGTTTAAGGGTTAAAGTTGAAATGTATTGCCTGTACACTGCATCATGATTTGTTTTAGCAATTAATTTATGAAGTATGTCTAGTTACATGTAGCGGATTAACCTCAATTTTCAAGACATGTAAATGAAAAAAAGCTGACATTCAAGAGAACAGTAATAGAAGATTCCTGGCACAAAGAGACAACAATATGCCAGTAACAGTTTGGTCTCAATACCTTGTTACAATGTTCTCTTACAATATTTAGTGAAGGTTATGTGTATTGACTGTGATTTTATTAAAACTGAATATTGGTACGACAACAGTGGTAAGTCCCAGGGCCTTGGTTTGTGTCATTTTTCAGTTGTTTAAGATTCAAATATAATTTCGTGCAAAGAAAAGCCATTATAGCTGCAATAATTGTCTTTGATATCTACCATAACATTTTTTGATTTTTTGACACCCAAGAGAAGTACAGTCCAAGTAGCCATGTGGTACAGTAACATAATAGTAACCAACGTTACAGTGTACAAATAAATATTACCTGTACATGTAGTCATTTGCATTGCAGTATTTTTCACATTAGGTGCAGCATAACCTGTTTCAAAGCTCTGCTTCAGCCAGCTCAAGGTTTATGGAGGACCAAGGCTGTTCAGATCCCTTTGAACCTTTGTATTATGCTGCTAATAATTCTGAAGAAGACTCTTTGAAAGTCCATCTACTGGCTGATGAGCACAAGTTACCCAAGTCTCACAGTTTAACACCCAGATTTTATGAGATAAGATCTGTACTTGCAGGGGATGATATGGACAAAGAGGTAAATTTCTGACCATTTGTTATTCCCCTATTTAGCAGTGGCACAGGTTGATCTCAGAATGAACAGACTGGCAATTGCACCTTGAATGAGTCATCATGTAGTGTTCTTGGGTGTGACACTCAACTCTCCCCTGTCCACCCTGCAGAGTAAATGGGTTTTGGCCAACTGTCACAATACTTGATTAGATTTTATTGAGCATACATGGGGTAACCAACATCTCATCCAGAAGGGGTGGCAAAACTAGTTGCCTTGTAGCAATAAAATTGGAATAAGCTCTGCCAATAAGGGCAGAAAGTGTGGAAGACATAACCCTAAACCTGGATTGCTGCCATTGTGATGGTATTAATTTTTTGAGTATATTTTCTATGACTAATATGATTGCATTATTTTGGTTGGTTTGAAAATTTCAGGCCAGCTCTACACTTCTAAGTTTGTCTGGAGAGGGTCAAAAGTACAAGGATTTTTATTCAGCAATGATCAATTTCCTGATGGTGGGATCTCAGCCAGAACTAAAGAGCAATGTGGGGGATGGTCATCATTCAGGGCCAATTGATGGTGCAGTTGTGAAGCACAGCTTTAACCTTGCATGGCGCATACTAGACAGTCTACCACCATCAGCTGATTTTTTTCAGAACCTTTTTCAAGATCTTGAGAGACAGCATCTTCAAGTAACAGTAAGTACAGTCATGTGCATGTACATGTACATCTGTACATCCACTCAACCTTGTAACTCTCAGAAGAAATCAATGTGTAACTTTTCCTTATAATTTGGATATATCAACAAAGTTGAAATGATAAATTGGCCACCGTAATGATTACAAAAGCTGATGTTTGGAGCGTTAGTTCTTCATTGGAGCGAATAGAGGAATTGTGGGTTGTGTGTGCTTTTAAAGGCAGAAAGTGGAGCTACGTTATTGATGGGAACATGGCAACGAGAAAAACAAGAATAAATTAGTGGAATGAAAAGCATTCGTTGATCCCTGTGGGAGTTAGACTGCTGGTTTGAAAGATGAGCTTTTGTTCAAGATTTTTATGTCTTTCCGTGCTACATTAACTTTTCCTTACAATGCTTATTCAGTATTAAACCAAGTGAGGCCTGTAATGAGCAGCCTTATAGAAACTAGAAGCAGCAACTATTTAACTCATTTTTCCTTTTCCACAGGACCCTGACCTAGCTAAACTTTTGTGTGGTCTGAAGTTTGTGTCAAAACTTGGCACTTCAAGTCCAGATGCTACCTTCTGTGAAACACTTAAGGTACAGTATGTCAGTGAGGTGTACATTAATTTTGCAAACTACTAGGTATACAACTCTATTATTGACCTGTTGGACCCCTCAGGATGTGGCAACTTTGACCCCCCTCCTACATGTAGCTGCTGTAAATGAGAATGGATGTGAAGATGAGTGAAAGTGGTTTTGACTTTGTGTATCAAAAATAAAATATCAATGAAGTCAAATATCAATGAAGCAGTGTTTATGATGTGCTTTGCTTTCTTTTTCATTAATCGAAGATTGAGGGGTTCCTGTATGTACAAATTTTAAGCTTGACAGTCAAATCAAAAAGGATATCAGATGGTTTTCATGATATGGGATGGAGAAAACAGCTGAGTTCCCTATGAAAATTTAAATCCCAGACCTTCTGATTACATTAACACACACTCTACCAACTGAACTGAATTGTATGATTGTATACCTATCGGCAAGGTAGGCCATACATTTGATTCATTTGTCCTTTTGACGAATGTCCTTGGCAGTGCTAGGATCAGGGATATCAAGCACAGGCGGTTGTAAAATTTTAGTTCAGTTATGGTAATAATCTTGTTTCACTCTACAGAATAGTCTTGTTGATCAAGGAGTGTCCCATGAAGACCCTAAGAAATTGATTGATTACGTTACAAGTTTGAGTGGTGATCTCTACCACAGTGTTATGATGGCAAAACAGTTCTTGTTAGAGGTAGTGATCATGACATTAATTTTCATAAACTTATTGTGGGTTACTAAATGTGCATAAACATGGATAATATGTGGGATTGCAAAAATAAAATGATTACATAGTTAAAAATTTTCGATAATTTTATACACTGGAACCCTGCTAACTTGAACTCAGTTAACTCGAACCCCCAAGTAACTCAAACAAGATGGGATTTCCCTTGACCCAATTTTCAGTCATTTACTATCAGCTAATACAAACTTTCACTAGCTCTAACCATTTTTTTCTTTCCCTTGGGAAATTGAGTTAGCAGGGTTCTACTGTAAGTCACAATGGGAAACTCAAGGTTTGATGTTATCCATGTAACATTATGTCGATCTCAGTGCCCTCTTCCCTTTTACAATAATCCTGGGCTTCGTATTTCCTGATGCAATTATCTTACAATGGTGATTTGTTTGTTATTTGACTGTGTAGATGTTGAAACTTCACACTGAACTTGTCCAAGTAGACACGCCTTCTAAGCTACCAGGACTACTGAACCTATGCACTCTTGATGCTGTCATTGGAAAAACTCATGTGGCTCTTAATTCTCTCTTTGGAAACTGTGATGAAGATCCTGATTTAACGCTTGTCGTGGAAAATGCCAACGAGTTACTGCCTGTGCTCATTGACTTGATTTCATTGTATCAGAAATTTGCTGGGTAAGGAGTTTTAGACTGTAACTATATAGTGAAGCAAAGCTGCAGATGTTCTTATTCTTGGAAATTTAACCCTGTTCAGAATGTTTAATTAAGTGTGTACATGTAAAGAGTAAAATAAGTAATGAGTGAGCATTAGTTTCCAAAATGCAGTCTTTTGAATAAAGCCTTCTCCCAGACAGCACTACACAATACAAAAGGTCTGATGTTGGAGAAAATGCATATGCTATCAGTTTTATTTTTAACCTGTTTCTTGTTTGTTAGACTTTGTTTGCTGTTTGGTGCCACAAATCAGAAAAATGATGACAGTGAGGGAATGGAGGCATTGCAGGCCTATTCCAGTGTCCTAAAGATTGGGTGTATGCGACTACCTAAGCACTCATGTCTTCCAGTGACATTCTTGGCAGGTATTCAAGTTCAATGGATCTTGATTACTCAGATTGTATCAAAATATCCTAATACATTTTAGAACATAGCTAGCAGAGCCCCACAATTAAATTCAGTATATGCAAGCATGCTCAAAATCCTGATAGTGCACGCTGATAGCGTCAGCAAATCGCTTCCCTAGAAATGTTTTTTTCGCGCGAGTGGCCATTGTTAGCATGGGGAAAAATAATATAATTATTTCACGACAATGATGGATATAAACAGAGACTCAGCCTACTAGTCCCAAAACGAAGACAATTTTTTTACCTTTTTCCTTAGGCTAGAGTTCTTAAATGAGGCAGAAAAAAAGAAAAACAATGGAAAAAGAGACTCGGCATCAACGCCGTCATGATTCGCTTCAATTGATATTGTTGCCCGTATTTCTTGTCGGATTTGATGCACAATTAATAATAATAATAAATAGATGCTTATAGGGCGCATTTCTTATCTCAATGCGCCTAACAATAGATTATTAAGACATAAGAATAAGTAATTAATTAACAGTAATGTTTTTTCACCAGTAATGTTTTTTCACCTTTCACCAATTCCACCTGCTATGTTCTAAAACAATTGGTTCATGCTTTCAGCTGTGCACTATTGAGTTATGGAGCATGTGGGAAGTTTGGAGAGTACTCAAGAAGCTAGAGTTGCCCTCGGCTATTGCCTTGGGCAACTCTTACGCTTCTTTCGTGCTCTCCAAACTTCCCGTGTGCTCCATAACTTATTAGTGCACGCTAAAGCATGAACCAATTGTTAAACTCAGAGTGGGTCTTGGTAACTCAGAATAATTATCCTAATACTTTACTCAGAGCTGGCATTGCAGTGCAGATAAAATGCCTTTTTTTCAATTTTCTTAATTTTCTTTATTTGAAGGTCTTCCCTCACCTGTGAAAAAACATTTGGAGAAATGGAACAACATTGTGCTCACAAATTTTCCCTCTGCATCATCATGGAAGACATCATCATGTCTGATTGAAGTTGGCACAGAAAGCTTTCTGGATTCTCTGGTGTCAGCCCATGTGTTGGCTGTCTGTAGTGGTAATACCTTGGATATTGCACCAGCTCTTAAACACACTCTTCGCTCATTGGTTCAGCTAGCTGCTGATTTGCTTTCGTAAGTCTTTCTATTTGAACTCTGTTTGTAAAATTTGTTTGTATGTACAGTAACTCTCCCCTAAATTGATTTGGATGGAAAAATCACTTACTGTGCATTCACATACAGATATTGGACAATGTGGCAGTATTAAAATTAATGTTTCAATTTCTAATAATTTAATAAAACTTGTTACATGTATTTTTAAACTGCTAAGGACAGTTAACCCTTACAACCATAATTTCAGGTTGCATATTCTCCATCCTGTTTTCTATACAGTTCTTAGGGTGCTGACAAGGTCAATTTGTTTAACAATCCAGACCTTCTTTAGTTGGCAATCACTTCCTTTATCCTTATTTAGTGTGATTCAGGGATGATATTATAAGGAGGAACTATAATAACTATACCTCAATTCTTAGGTTGACAAAGTAAGATTTCACCACATTTATTGCACCTGCTGTTTCTTAATTTTCTCATCTGAAATCACTCATGCAGTTATTGTTTAGTTCTACTTACAAGGTGGAGTCCAAACGAAGAACACTCAATGCAAACCGCCCTGGGGAAGCAACTGTGTGATAACATAGTACCACTTATGGTGGATGCCACTACAGAGTACTTGTCTGAGCAGTGCAATACCATCTTGGAGCGAGTCATTGGCCCAGCAGACAGTGACAAATTTGCCAATTGTATTCAGTCTTATGTGCTATCAAAATGTCACAAACTTCTCTTAGATCAGTCAAGAGCTAGTAGGTATGTCAATGAATTAACAGCTAATAATTGTCCTTCAGCATTTAATATACATCAAGAATAGAGTTAGAAAGTGCAGTGATCATTTTTTCTTGCTCTTAGATCTGATATTGGTGAAGAGGTGCTGGTGGACTGTTTGAAATACATGGATTCCTTGTTGGACAAAGTGTCTGACCACCCTCTTTTGGATCAGTTGTATTCAAAGAACAGAGAACTCTGGCGAGTTATTGTGTTCTCTGCAAACAAGCGCCTATCTCTTGGATATGTCAACAGGACATTAAAACTGGCAGTTCGCTTCCTGCAACTTGGTAAATTTTGTTGAGTTTAGCATGGTGGTTGTTGTTCAGTTGAGAACTAGTTTTGCATGATGTAGAAATGTTTATGTTTAATTTTTTTTCACAGCTGAGAAACCCGTAAACTCCAGTATGCACTCATTATGTTCCAGTTTCTCTGAACTTTGCCACATAGACCATGCAAACATTGAGGCATGGCTGAGAAGGATCATCTTAGGAGTTGAAGAAGACAAAGAGAACACTGGAAAGATGGCAGACAACAGACTGCTTTTACAGACATTTGCTACATATATTGTCAAGGAGTCAAGGTATAGTAGCCCAAGGGGCCCTTAAATGCAGAGTGAGGTAAAGCTTAGAATGTAAGATGATGATTTAATGCATTGATTAGATGTAAATGTATCATTCTGTTGAGGAGATACTGCCTAATTCTGCAACTTCAGCTAAAAAGGTTTAACAGGAATTAACCTTTCATGATAAACTTTATGAACTTTAGAATGGTGGGAGGTTGAGATATCCTACATGTAGATGTACACTGTTCATGTGATGTAGATCACAGATGATTCAAAGTGTTTTGGTGGTTTATGGTTTGAAATGAAATGGTGTGATGCTATTTTTTGCAGCCCTGTTGGTGAAGAAGTAAGCCATTGCTTATTGAGATGCTTAATTCCACTGGGAAATGAGCTCCTGCCAGATGTCCCTGGAGAGTGGAGTAACATTGGATCCAAATTTGGTGACCTCATGAACACAGCTGCTGTTCTGGCCAGTGCAGGGGATGGAGCAGGGCATCTTACACTCTGTGCTGCCATCATTAAATGGCTGGAGAAATGGTATGCCTAAACAAATCTAAGATTATCTCTTCTTTGTCAGTCTTATCCTCTGCAAATCTAAGGTTTCTGATACTTGAAGAACTTTGTAGTTTTATTTTAATTTTTTTATTCTTGGCTCATCCTTGATTTTGGTAACTTGTTCGTCATACAGCTGTAACTTGCCAGGTTTAATGAATAAAGTTTGGGAAGTTACCTATAAAAACAACAAAAAGTTATTCTATCTTCTTTTTAGTAAAACCCAACTTCTAATGGTAGCAGAAAGTGGTGAGAAAGGAAAAGAGAGTGGTATTGTAGAAGCTGCTGGGCCTCTTCTCCGTTATCTAGCAGAGTTGATGAGAGCTCTTAAGTACTCCTCAGAAAAGGAATGCCCTCCATCACCATCACTTTGCCCAGTTGATGGTGAGCCATTGATGCAAGATGTAGAATCTGATTGGATGGATGACATGGGTGGCGACGAAGAAGACTCTGGTGGAGAAGAGTCGGTAGGTGGAAAGAAAAGTAGGGTCAGTGGTAATATGGACTTACTCCTTTTTTTTTATAAAATCAAGCCCATGAAATTACTGCAATTTATAGTCAGGTGCATTGTAGCCCCTTATTTCTTTCATGGTTCAGTCCATTGGCTTCTTTAGGAACACAAATTTTTGACAGACTTATTCATGTTTACTAGTTTCTCAACATCAGGCCAAATTTCATCGAGAATGTTTCTTTAATGTCATTATTGTTGATAAAAGTCAACATAAAAGGATATCCATTCCTCAAGAACATCATGTGTTACTCTGTTCCTGAATTTTGTTTTGGTGTCTTCTGAAATTGTGGTCAATCTATCTCTTCCTCTAAGGATGAAGATTCTCTTTGCAACAAGCTCTGCACATTTACAATGACTCAGAAAGAGTTCATGAACCAACACTGGTACCACTGCCACACTTGTAAGATGAATGACGGGGTGGGCGTGTGTACAATATGTGCTAAAGTCTGCCATAAGGATCATGATATCTCATATGCCAAGTATGGTTCATTCTTTTGTGATTGTGGGGCTAAAGAAGATGGAAGCTGTACGGTAAGTGTTATCCCTTTGAAAATGAAACTTTTGGGTAAATTTGAATGCTTGAGTGCTTCAATTCTCTCTGTTGCTTGGAAGTTATCATATGTACAGCCTTCATGCCACTGGTAAGGACTGTCTTCTGTAAAGACAGTCTCCATTGGAACTGTAAGTGTTGTTGTTGTTGTTGAGTATCTAAACCATCTGGATGAAAGCAATCAAATTTGTGATTGCTATAGGGAAGTTTGGTTCGACAGCCTGATTCAGGACATGTAGAGGTAACTGCTGCACTGATATCAATTATGTTGGTTTACAGCAAAGGTTATAGTCATAATTCTAAGTAGATTATATAAGACAACAAAATTGCAAACAAACATAAAATTTCCTCCTCCCCCTGCTTCTTAAATTTTATGCAAGATACACTAGGTGGTGCACCTGTTGCAACTGTAGTAACCAAATTGATTACATGCTGGATTCGCCTGGTCATAGTATTAAAGGCATGCTTAGGTCAAAAGGCTTGGCAAACTGGACTGGCAGGTCCAGGCTGGCCTAACACGTGAAATTTTCCAATCAGCCTCGTATTAGTCAACTACCCCTCCTGAGAAGCCACTTAAGAAATACATATAATTTTCATGAATAACAAACTTTTAAAGGATTATGTTGCTTGTCAGATCATTTAATTATGAAAGGCATTTTGTGTCGTAGGCTTTGGTGAAACGCACCCCAAGCAGTGGAGCAGACAGTCAGGTAGCTGTTCCACCATCACCATTTGCTACAGGAGAGATGGATGAAGGACATGATGCTGCTGAAGGCTCCACCTCTGGTAAAGTATCATCCTCAGCAATTGGAGCAAGTTCATCCACAGCTGCTGCTGCTGCTTCTGGAGTAACAGGTTCAAGTGGAACTGGAAATGATGGTGGCCTTGAAGATTCAGCACTTACATCTAAGTCTGTGGAGGCCTTGGCAAAGCAGCTTGAGGTTTGAGAACTGATTTAAGCGGTTAGGTTTTCACATTTAAAATTCGTGAGTTAATTGTAAAAGGACGTGACATTTTTTATGATAAGCTTTTAACTCAGATCATTGTTGCAAAATGAACCAAATTGTCCAAAGTTTGAAAGCAGCTGCCATAAAACCAATTATTGTGAATCCATGTAGGTGTTTTTGTTCATTCCATTTGGATTAAAACCTAAATCTACTGCATTTTTCATTGTGGCAACATTGTATGTTGTGAAACTAGACTTGCTCTCCCTATTGCTCAAAGCTCTTCCCTGAAAATACTTTCCATGATTGTGTCCTTCAATTATCAGCGTTTTCTGTTTTAACTTAAAAATTTATTTTGGATAACTTTTTCTTAACTCACAGAAGCACAAGAATGGACTTGTAAGCCAACTGGAGAACTCTTCAGTGATAACAACAACCTTAGACCTTCTTCAATGGCTGATGGGACCTGAGGGGGGAGGGCCTAGTAGTGTTGGAATGGGAGTGTCTAAGGCTTTAAAGGATTCTATGACACAACTGCACTTGACAGATAAAAGTGTGGAGAACACTGATCAACTTCTGGTTAGTTTTAGGTTTAGAAGCTTTGTCACATTTTGTTAAAAAAAGCATAGTCTAACTTTGTCTGGTTTTTTGGAATCCTACATCATCTTCCTAATCCTTGATCTATTTTG